CAAAATCGGCAAAGGCAATAGATATTTCACTTCCCTCGATCTACGCAGTAGCTAATGGCAAATTGAGATTGACAAGCGAGACTGATACAAAACAGCATTTACATGGAAGGACCACTGCTATCAATACACATGCCTGGCCTTCGGCCTTACATCTGCCGGACAAATCCTCTCCCGTTGCATAGCAGAATCCCGTGACAACATTTCTTCCTATATCGATGACAACCTGGTCAACGCTAGGACATTTAGGGAGTACATACTCTCCCTCAATCAATTTTGATAGCGGTCGCTTCCCATACATTCAACTCCATGGAACAGAACTGGTCCACGACAGAATGAGAGGCATATGCAATAAAGTGGGCAATATTGAAATTTGATTATTTCCTTCACAACCGCCCCTTCGTCATCTTCACCGACCACAGATCACTGATATATCTGGACCAACGAGAGTTCAATAATGCCAAAATACGACGATTTCATGTTATAAATTCGTCTTAGAATATGTTGAAGACGAATCAAATGTATGGGCTGACATGCTCAGCAGAGGTTGCGAACAAAAGAAAACAAAAGGCAGGACATTTGAGGTAAGCGGTTCAGACCTCCGCGTATACATCCCATCTTGGTGCCTCAGCGAGTTTAACGGTTTACAGCTCATTCCCAAAACTCACACACCACAAAATGCTTGCACTCACAAGCGCGTCACCAACGCATTCTTCGCCTATCACTCTACCACCACCATCCCCACTGAAAGAGTCTGCAACCACCTCGGCATCGCAAATGAACAACAGAAGGACGACGCCCTGGCAAAGATCATCAGCGCACTCCAGTCACCCACTCCAAGCGAACCTCATATCGATCCTGATGACCACCGAGCTACGCTTTTCAAAAAAAATTTGCACCAATTTTTTCTAGAACCAGGCACCTCTGTTTTGATGATAAGAGACAGTAAACACTCTCCAAGATTGGTTGTACCATACAAACTACGATCCAGATACCTCTACCAGGCACACGAGGGCAACAACCACTCAGGTGTTACCTGTATGCGAGAACTCCTTTCCAGCTACTGGTGGGAATTCAAAAACCGTGACATCAAGGCCTATGTCGACTCTTGCGACACGTGTGCTAAGTGCAAGGGCAACTATGGTAGATGTACCCATTGGCCCATTGTCCACTGCAAACGAGGGAAGAGACCATTTGATCTCGTCTTTATAGACTTTGTCACAAAGCCCAACTCAAAGGGAAAATGCTACATCCTAACCATCTTGGATAGCTTCAGCCGACACTTTACAGCCATACCATGCATGAGAGACCGTGCTATCGATGCAGCTCGAGATTGTATCAGTTCTTTCTTCGACACAGAGAGTTTCCATGTATAGTATCCTCTGATCGAGGCACACACTTCACTGGAGAAGTCTATTGACAATTCTGTAACCAGATGTCAATCACGCAAGAACTTCACTGTCCTTGGCGCCCGCAAAGCTCAGGAAATATCGAGAGACAACATCGCACGATGAAGAACGCACTTTATATGTTATGCGAAGACAGGAACTGTGAATGGACAGATGTTCTAGGATCTGTCGTTTCGTCCATCATGAATGCCACGACCAACAGCGCCACCGGTGTCTCCCTGCACTATGCCATTACTGGCTGTCACCCCAACATCGGCCTACCTACACTACACAGAAAAGAAATCACAAGTGACGATTCTGGAGCATATGGAATGCAAATTAATGCCCTGCTAAAGCAGGTCCACTAGCACATCACCCTGGCCAACGAGGAAGCTGACCACAAACTTGAGGCCTGATCCGACCAATCGGCTAGTCATGTCATGCCATAACACCTATCCTCACAAAATAAATATCTTTCAAATTCTATTTCAAAACAATGTGATATTCCCTAAATAAGTGTCAGAAGGTGGTGGCAAGGGTCAATCAATTAGTACGTAAAAATCAGCCACATGAAGGAATAAATAAAAGTTTTCATAAAAACAGGGGTAAGAAAACAAAAACACTGGAAATGCTGGCAAAAATACTACTAGTATGAGTACACCTCCTTTGTATCCCTGAGAAAATAGGGCAAATGGGCTTCCCCGCTAATATCTCCCACTGCCAGGCTCCAAGGAGGGTGGGGAGCAAAAGAGATGAAGATAAAAACAAACCCACATGGCAACAAAAAAACAACAAAAAGACCCCATATCGAATGAAGCTCAGACAACAAGTCAGAGCATGAACTAACACATCATCAATTCGTAGTATTTGAATCTATTGAAAATACTCCTCTTACCAAAATATCTCCTTTTAAAATAGAGAAAATCATCTCAACCAACATCCAAAAACCAGAATCTGTGAAAAAAATGAAGAATGGAAAAATACTAATCGAAGTATCCAAAAATACACACACAAAAAAAATATTAAACTGGACAAGCTTTGACAAGATAAAAATTAAAACATACCTACACGAAACCCTAAATTCATCCAAAGGAGTAGTGAGAAGCCATGAACTCTCACTATGCAACCTGGAAGAGCTAAAAACAAACCTAAAAAAAAACAGCAAGAAAAAGATGTCAAAAGAATAACTATTAAAAAAAATGGTACACTTATTGAAACCAATACATATATATTAACCTTTAACTCAACTGTAATACCCAGGGACATAAGAATTGAATATTCAATAGCAAAAGTTGAGACTTACATACCAATGCCACTTAGGTGTTACCTATGCCAAAGATACGGACACCACAAAGAAACTTGTGCTAGAGATCCAGTGTGTAGAAGATGTGGAAATACAGAGACTGAACATCCAGAAGATTGCAGTGAAAGACCTAGGTGTCAAAACTGCGAAGATGAGCATACTGCAGGCTCAAGAGAATGTAAAGTATGGCAGAAAGAAAAGGAAATCAATAAAACAAAATATTCACCAAATATCTCTTTCTTCAAAGCAAGAAAAATTGTTGAAACACAGACACCCACAATAACATATGCCTCTATGCTGACCTCAGAAAATAAACATCCTGAATATCCAAAAAAAGAAACAACAGAAAAAACTAACTACAAATCTGAAGAAATCTCAACTTTAATAGATAACCTGAGAATTCTACTTACTGAACTAACCATAATACTCAAACCTGAAACGATGACAACAACAAAAAATAACCAAAAAACAACTGAACACTCCACATCAAATACCACAAAACAAACTCAAAAAGAGGAAACCAAAAGCCTCAGCAGAAGCCAAACAGACCTGTAAAACCAAGACAAAGAATCTACAGCAAACAATCTGAAAACTCAAAACAGATTTTTACTTCTCAACAAAATAGAACAAGAACAATCAGAAAACACAACCACAACTGAACTCTTGAAAAGAACACACCATGGAAAAAATGCAACTCAAAAAGACACAAACTCATAAGAAAAGCCAGCCAAGCCAACAATCAACTTCCAAGAACAGATCAAAAAGCCAAACAAAAATCCTCCCCGGAAAAAAAGAAACAAAATAAAAACCCTAGAAACATGACAACTGAGAATACCCCACCATCCCTAGAAGAGATGGATATATCATTAAAAAAAAAACAAAACAAAACATAATGAACTCAAGATCACACAAAATTCTACAATGGAACTGCAGAGGAGGCAAATATAAATGAATTGCTGTTACTAATTACAGACCTAAACCCAGTTATAATATGTCTTCAGGAAACCTTCTTAAAGAATAACAAGATAAATATAAAAGACTACCAACACTATTATATTAAAAACTCTAGTCTTCGAGCATCAGCAGGTACATCTATTGTAATCAGAAATGACATACCACAAAGTCTTATTACCTTAAAAACAAATTTACAGGTAGCAGCTGTAAAAGTGACTTGAGTCTTTGAAGAGACAGACACCAACAAGATATACAGTTTCCTTTCAGCATCCATAACAAAATTTAAAAAAAATTTTTTTCCTTTTTATAACTTAACCCAATGCCATGATTAAGTTCTGCTAAAGTACTTGCAAGAGCCTTTAAGGCCGGAATATCAGAATATCTATCTATATGTGGAAGTGTGATTATCAAGCTATCAATATCAACATATTTATCTTTATATCAAAGTATGAATGACAAGCTATCTATCTAGTTATCAAAGCCCGGATATCTATTATTGGCTTTAAATAACCCAACAAGGTTGATATGGTGTAGAACACAAACAAACAAACATATTGATTTGCATGGTAAAATCTGATATATTATGAATTGCCAAATATTAGAGTAGTTCCTCTCTTTACCTTAATAATAGAGACTTTGAAATGTGGTATGTTATCTATGAGGTGCTGGATCTGTGTATGTTACACTTTAGTTACCACAACTAGCTTGCGTAACAACAGGCCAGATACATAGTCTTATATGGTCTCCTTCACACATAAACTTTACTGTCTGCCTGAAAGATCTGCAAATGTCACTCATCTTAGTAAGTAACATATTCCAAAGATATTTTTTGGTTCTAGTAATGCACAGTGACCAATGCTATCATATCAAAGACTATGAAACTCCATGGAATGGAGTGTATATTTTACAATGCACTGATTGGTGGGTTGAGTGGCATCAGCATTGAATCGGGATGTGATTTAATGCAATGTTAGTTGTGTCATTTACTGGTAGTCATATATTTGCACCACTACTAGGTATCCAAAGTTTTCGTGTGCTGTCGATGTCTGTCTGGAATTTATATATTTTTGGTATATTTTTGCCACTTCAGTAAAAGTTAGAGCAGTTGCCACCTTAGAGATAGGGTGCCTTATCCTTTGGGCCCCTAACAATATTTCCAGGGTCAAATGGTTTTAATTCCTATGCCTGTGACAGCTACACCACCTTTCTTTTTCATATATGCCATCTAGCTGTGTTAAGTTTTACAAGTGAGAGAGGGTGAACCTAACCAGTATACTAATGTTTCTACTTTTTGGCACCTTAATTTACTAACTTATTGTTTCTAACATTTTTCTTTGAAGCTGATTTGAAAAATTAAAATGAACATGAAAGATTTAGACCACCCTTCACAGAATAAAGACGGTCATTATACACAAGCTTTAAAACACTGTATTCCTGTTCGATGTCATAAAAGGTTGGTTTTTTGTATTTTTTATCTTTACTTTCTTTCTGTTTTTGAATAAATATGCAACAATATACAGATAGATAAAAAATTGATAAATAGAACCTATTTATATATAAGTATAGGAGGAAATATCTATTTAAATATATACTAATCAAATGTTTACAGCTTTAGCTATATTCTTACTTTTAAAGTTTACTTTTTCATTCAGATAAATTTTTTGCCTTATATATAAAAGGTTTAAAATCCAAGATTTGAATTGATTTTTAAAAAATTCAATATACTTTTTCTATTTTTTTAAGTCTAGATATAAAATATTTTATAATTTTTACTGTTGTAAGTTGGAACCAAATGGAAAGCTTCTATACAAAGGTATAAGCATATATATGATGGTGGTTGGTGTGAATTCAGTGAAATAGACACCAAAAACATTAGGTAATTTAAAAAATGACATGCCCACATATAAGCAGTATTTGATTTTATTTTTGTACTACAAATCCAAAGTCTTCAAAAATGCCATCAAAAAGAATTTTTTTTAAAACTATTATTTTTGTGTTGTCAGTGTTAAAACTGATATATATATATATATATATATATATATATATATATATATATATATATATATATATAAACTTCATCTGCCACACCTGTAGAAAAGGTAGCCATGCAAAGATTGAATTGCTAAGCCACTCCAGACACTGCTGACAAAAGCACTGACTTTAAATGAGGTGGTATTATTATTTCATAAGATAAATACATGTTCAGTATATATTCTTTTAAACACTTCAACCCATGCAAGGGGTTACTGAGAGTGAACAAAACTGAGAAAATGCTAAGGAGAGTGAAAAACAATAAAAAACAGGATTCAAGGAGGCAGATGATGATTGATGTTGCATTTAAATTTTTGAAGATTGTAGTTGACAGGAAAGCAAGAACACATAAGATAGTTCCACATGTGAAAAATGCAAGTGAAGAAACTATTAACATTGAATATACATATATATATATAAAAGTGAACATTGAAGTCAACACTCAGAGGCAACAGGCTGTTTCATGCTAGACGCAGTCTTTTTATATTTACATACGCTGTATCTTTGATATTAAGCACTTTATCCCATAAATATAGCACACCTTAAAACTATATTTCTTCATATATATATATATATATATATATATATATATATATATATATAGTGTGTGTGTGTGTGTGTGTGCGTGTATGAAGGAATGTATAGATATAACCATTATTTCTCTAAAACTGAATTGTATATTGTTTCAGTATGTTTTCTTTCTTTGAAATGCAGAAAAGATAATGAGATTCCCATGAAATATGCTGGTTGTTTCTCATATATGACTGTCAGTTGGCTGGGGAATATAGTGTGGAAGATTTATAAAAATGGCATTGATTCAGTGACCTTGTGGAAATGTTCTGAAAATGAGAGCAGTTTTCACAACCTAATGAGGTTTGTTTCTTTCTTAATATTTTTTTTATGAATATATTTTTCTCAATGTTAACATTTTTGTTGATTATCTTCATTATAAGTTCAATTAAAATGTTGAGTATTTATAACTTAGGAAGTGTTTGTAGAAATCATACATAAACTGTTTATTATCTTGCTATAAGAATCACAAATACTTTGGAATAAGATACATTTTAAAATGTTACATTTCCAAACAAAAGCCTGTCAAAGATTGAGTTTTTGTAGTAGAGGATTAAATTTAATTGATTGGATTATTTATTGTTAAAAGTTTTCTGCATAGATCATCCAAGAAAGATAGTCATGAACATTGTAATTAGGAGAGAAAAAACTTCTCAGCATTGCTAAAGCAGAGTTTTTTGATTTAATTGATAAGTAACTTTGTTTGAATCCACTAATAAATAAAAAGTTTATCAAAGTTTTCTAATTCATGTTATAGAGAGGTTGTGTTACTAAAATTTAAGATGTGTAATAAAATGTCTAAAGTAACTGTAAATATGTTACCAAATTCTCAAGATTTTATGTGAATTTTTGAAGCTTCTAAAAAATTAGATAATAGCTGGATTGAAAATTTTGTGTTAGAATTTTTAAAAATTCTAATTTTAATTAAAATTTGAATTAGGAAAAAATAATTTTTGACATAATTCAGTATAAATATTGCTGGTGTATGGATACAGAAGGTGCTTATCTCTTTGGTGGAGATAAGTCATGTGGGTCATGTGACTGCCACTTTGTGATATCACTCCATACAGTGACCAAAGCAGTAGTCATTTTTTAGTTCATGGACAACAACCAAATGAGAAGGTTACTGCCTTCCTCAGCAACTTAAAGCACTTGGTGCAGTTTACCTTTGGGAAATAAATAAATCCAACCCGTTTAAATCTGGAGTCCTAAAAATGGCTTCTTCAGGTCAGGAGTATCTCTAAATTATATGTAAGACATTTCCTTTTTGTTCTTCCTTATACTTTGCTTTGCTGTGTGATATATACTTCTCCACATGGTACATGTATATATATATATATATATATATATATATATATATATATATATATATATATATATATGGTTTGAGTATATCTTAGTATTATAAAAGTTTCTCTGAGAACAAAGCATTTTCATCATTCTGTTTCCTTTCAGCTATTCCCTTCCATTCTGTCCATGAACTACAATGTTATTATATCACAGATATAATATTGCCCATAATGGAAGAAATGTAAATGTGAGAATAAATCTGTCTTCCAAGTACTCTCGTTACACTGGATTCAAATGCTAATTTTTTTGAGAGAATTTTATAATTTATTGATTACCCAGTCCTGATCAGTTGCCAGACTTCAAAATTATTTCATAGTCATATAAATTTCACTTAATCTTAACAGAAATTATTTGCAAGCATTAATTTTAAATTCAGTATCTGGACATAATTTTACTAAACAAGTTAACTGTTTTAATATATTGTTTAGATTTATCAGTTCTAAAGAATGTTTACAAGTAAGTTCACCACCATCAAATCATTGCAAGGAAAGTTCACTATGTAGAATTGCTCTGTTGGCTGGAGCTTCAGAATACATCAACTGCACTTCTGCAGAGGGGTAGCCCCTCCCCTTCCAATGAGGCCACCTACTGGCTGTGAGTGGCAACCTATGATACCTGGGGATGGAATCCTGGTGATTGACAGCGTCAGGAAGAAGGATCCCAACACCACACTTTGGCCCTTAGATGGGTGGTTGCAGATGTCTGATCTGATCAACTGACTGGTCATGTCAAGTCCAGATTTAGATTCCAGAAAACTGAGGAAAAAGCTGAATCAGAAAGTAGTGGATACAGGGTCAATTATGCTAGGAAAGGATTATTGTTTCAAACTATTTCTGAACAAGAACTGAGATTTAGGAAGTTAAACAATTATTGCCTCATCATAGTGTGAATATACTATATAGCCCTTATCTGCCAAAGTGAATAGGATTCCCTCTCTTGGCATTTCCCCTTGTAGGGCTCTGCAGTGGGTAGGGAGCACAGTCAGTGAAACATAATTTCATTAAATGGATACAGAAAGAAAAACCCAAGTGAAAAGACCCCACATGGAGTTAGATTCTGATCAAGAGCAGTTTGAGGTACCCTTTCCTAGATTCATAATATTAGAATCTAGAGAGGAGGTTCCACTAACTAAATTATCACCATTCCTGGTACAAAGGGTTCTATCCTCAATGGTAAATCCTAAGTCAGTAAAAATAATTAAAAAAATAGAACCATTCTGGTAGAAATACCAAATAAAAACATGCAAGCATACTGTTAAAGATTAAAAAATTCTAAAACATTAATGTGAAAGCATACCCACATGAAAGAGTAAACACTTCCAGGGTGTAGTTCATAATAGAGATCTGTCTCTTTGTACCATGGTAAAGGCAAAAGTCAAGTTAAATAAACAAAATGTGACATCAAAAGGATAACAATTAAAATGTGACATCAAAAGGATAACAATTAAAAAAACAAAACCAGATAATAAATACAAACATATATTAACTTTCAACATACCCACACCACCAACTGAAATTAAAATTGGCTATTTGATGGCCAAAGTAGATCAATATATACCAAATTCGAGAAGATGTCAAAGATATGGCCATAAAAAGAAAACAAATATGTGCAAGATTTGGGGAGATAGAACCATGTAAAATCAGCTGAAATATAGCAACTGCAATGGAGATCATAGAGCTGATGCTAAAGAATGCAAGACATGGGCAAAAAGAAAAACAAATAATAAGAATGAAAATTACTCAAAGTATTACATTCCTAGAGGCAAGAAAACTTAAAGAAACTTGAACAAATGGAAATCAAAATTGAACCTACACTCCCAACACATCATAAAACAAGATGACATGATAAAAAACCTCTTTACAAATATACAGAATACACGTATTATACAGTGGACCTGCAGAGGTATAAAACCAAATTATGAGGAAACCAAACAACTCTTCACAGACTACAGCCCAAATATAGTCTGCTTACAAAAGAAACATCCTAAAAGAAACTGACATCTGCTTTAAAGGATATGACAACTACAGCAAAACAAACTTATCAACAATAAACGATAGGCCAATTGGTGGCATCTCAACATTAGTTAAAAACATCAATACCCCATGAGGCACTACAATTAAATATAAGCCTTCAGGCCATGACAATAAAAGCTTCACTCTACCAAACAGTAACCATTTGTTCAGTCTATATTCCCCCAAAGTACAGGTGATTAAAATCAAAATAGAAAGATTAATTGATCAACTTCTCACTCCTTTTCTATTAATAGAAGACTTCAATGCACACAGCAAAATATGTGACTGTAGCAACTCCAATGAAACTGGTAAAATCATAGAATCTCTGCTAGAATCATCTGATTTATGCCACCTTAATATTCATAGATTTTCAGTGGAGAGTCCATGATGATCATTGTGGCAGTGACCACGTACTTATATTTCTAAACATAAAGATACTTATGCCAGTGGAGAGGAATCCAAAATGGCAACTCCACAAAGCCAATTGGAGAAAATTCAATGAATTCTGCTCTGCTCAAATGATCCAATAATCTCTTTTACAAACACAGTAATACAAATAGAAGAACAGACACTACACAAACACTTCATTAAAATACATACCATACATACCATACATACCATACATACCATACATACAGTAGAATGCAAAGATGCAGTCAAAACCAGGAAAAATACCGTCTTCCTACACAATCCAACTACAACCAATCTCCAACAGTACCAGCAAGTTTGAGCAAAAGGACATTAGATCTAAAAAAAAAATGTGGAGAAATCACAGGGTGGTCCAAAAGTTTTGTCAGCCCCTACCTCTTTCCAAACTGTAGGAGCTTGTGTCAGCCATATGAAATAGAAAATTATATTATGTAGGGGTGACAAGACTTTCTGGCCACACTGTACATTTCCAAACTAAACACTCAAACACTAATAAATAAAACATGGGAAATAATAAGAAAAATAAGCAGAAAAAAACACAAACTACAACAATCCACTTAACAAAATCAAATGGGGACAAAATCACAAGGAAAAAAGAAATAGCTAATCTGATAGCAAACAACAATTAAGAATTAACAAATCATTACCCCGCTAATTTTCAAAATATAAAAACATTATAGAAAAAACTTTATATTCACCTCAAACAGCAAAAAAGAATACAACATTCCCTTTACAGAGCTAAAAAATCTCCATGAACAAGGCTAAAAACATGACAATTGGCTCAGACAAAATCCACTATCAATTTTTAAAAATTCTACCAGAAACATCTCATTTAGTACTCCTACAGATCTTTTAAGGATATATGGTGCAATGAAAAATTCTCAAAATCATTGCTTGAATTTATTGTCATTCCAATTCCTAAACCAACAAACTCTTTGCATTAACAAGCTGCATATGCAAGACAGTAGAGAGAAAGATAAATGTGTGACTGATGTGGTATTTGGAGAAGCATAATCTCTTATCTAGATATCAAAGTAGGTTCCAGAAAAACCAACATACCAAGAATCAACTAGTATGGCTTGAATTCTTCATCCGTGATGGCTTTGCTAGAGGTCACCATGTGGTATCAATCTTTTTTGATCTTGAAAAAGCTTATGATACCACATGGAAATATGGAATCTTAATAGATATCCACAAGATAGGAATATGAGGAAAAATGGCCAAATTCATCAAAAACTTTCTAGCACACCAAATCTTCACAGTACAAAATGGAAATACATCATGCAAGCAGGAGGCAGGAGTACCTCAAGGTTGTATCTTGTTATCTTATTCATTCTCAAAATCAACAGCATCATAAGAAAACATCAACTCAAGTATTGAAAAGTCTCTTTATGTAGATGATCTTACAATTACATACTCTTCTCCAAACATGTCAGCCCTTGAAAGACATATACAGATCTGTCTAAATAAGACAGGAAAATGAATCAATGAAAACACTTTCTGGTTTTCAAA